AGTCCACACACTAATCGACTAGTGCTACAAAAGGCGCAAAGTATTGACTTTGATCAGGTGGTTTTTATTGTGGCGCTTTTCTAGAAATTCCGTCAAAATTCTATCATCTGGCTAGGGTCAGGAACGGCAAAAATACTAAATTAGCCGTAAACTGAACATGCTAAACCCCAATTTCAGATTAGTTTGGATTCAATACTTAAGAGCAACTGAGACTTTTGACGGGATTTCTAGAAAAGCGCCACAATAAAAACCACCTGATCAAAGTCAATACCTTGCGCCTTTTGTAGCACTAGTCGATTAGTGTGTGGACTAACAAGAGGGAGGAGCCCTGGAAGGGTATGAGAACGCTTGATAGTATTAGATAAAATCAGATTTCGCTGTTCTGCCACCTGTAAAAATACTTTAATCCAGAACTTATGGCGGCGGAAAAACCGTATTCAGAATAAGTTTTCCATGGATCGACAGGGGTCTGTATATACCTTTAGTAGGACCATCGACTGCTAATAGTCAAACCTTCCTGGCTCTTAGCTCATGTAATACTGGACGGAACTGTGAGGAAGCATCCTGATACTTATTACGTTTATCTATGACGATAATCAAGAGCGATTTCCAAGAAAACGACATTGATAATTCTTTACTCACGTTTACTAAAAAGCATGCCTAATGTAACCACGAGGATTATAAATACAAGGGTAAACCAGTCGAAGCGTATGGCTGCCCATCGAGCTGCGGTTAAAATCAGATAATTGGCTCGTGTATTGACGTTGACATGTTCAAGAAATTCATTAATACATAATTGTTCTAAAATATACAAAAACAGTGTTGAGTATCAATGGAGAAAGTGTACGTGCAGACTGCATGGATTGTAACAATATATCAGCTATTTTGTTTCAAAGTGATTAACCTACCAGCATTATAACTTCGGATTACTTTCAAGCCTTGAATTGTTGATGCCAAATGAGAATAAACAGGGCTACGAGCTTAAAAGAAAGAAAAAATTAAATTAAAAATCAGTGATGATAAACAACTTCTGTCTCAGTTGTTTACTTATTCCTTCTAATCGTTTTAAGTCGCGTGAACATGTTGCATATATGGATCTTACGTAAAACATTCCAATAACGGCAAAGAAAGCTGGGATGAACGAGTAAACATTCACAAAACCGACAAGAACAATCGCTCCCAATACTTGAAACAAACACTAATGTAAAAATGTAAAATAGAAATTTCATATCAGTTAAACCAGTACGAGCAGTATAACTTCAAATTGTAAAAATAGCTCTCACAATAAGAACGCTAGAAAGGAGCACTCTAGTATTATTACCTGTAAAAAGTCGAATAGGTTTAACGGGAGTAACTCATCCATTACGGCGACATCCTTTGTAAATCGATTTAATATCCTGCCTTAATAATAAAAAGCAAGCAAACTTATAGTTATGAAGATTATAAAATAAGTCAGAATGAAATCACAAATGTAAGCTTCATAAACATTGCACTTTTCATTAAACCGTCCTATCTTGTCTTAACACCAGAATAGCCGGAAATTTTCATGACCAAAAACGCCCAAAACGGTCATTTTGACCACTACTGTTTTTTTTAAAATTTTATAATTGAACATGGTTCTGAATTAAAAAATGAATTACAAATTCTGCAAAAAATAGTTTCTGCGAGACAAATTAAAAGTTATGGCATAATTTATTTTTAAATAAATTGTATGCAGTTTGTTTTATTAGGGATAAAAATCAAAAAACGGTCAAAATGACCACTAAGGGCGTTCTAGTGTTAAGTTCCCCCTTTTTTTCAATTTCCTTTAGCAAATTCACGGGTAAAAATTCTAATATGCTACTTTTTTCTTAAGAAATTTATAGTTTACTACTCATATAATGTTGTCTGATTTATATTTGGTTATTTTTCTTTAATATTTTGCTACTATCCGTTAGAAAAAACGAATGTCTGCGAATCACTGCCTTCAGGTGTCTTTTTGCAATCTTTTTGAGGAGATCGTCAGATCCTAATGTTACAGAGTGACCTACTCTTTTTAGATGTATTTGGGGTAGAGTGATACCTGATCTACACGCTCCTCTAAACTCGAGACTTCCATGTACCATGGTTTAGGTGTGGCAGAAGTATGTTGTATTTTAGTGCGTATTTTTTTAGAGCGTCTCATTTGAGTGCATTCTCATCTGAGCGCATTCCCATTTAAGTGCAGCTTATTTTAGTGTGTCTTAGTTGGATGCGTTTTCGATTACACCACTCATTCTCGAAAATATTTTGAAACTTTTAAACCGTTTCTGTCGTCACTGTTTGATATTAAGTCAAAACCGATTGCAAATTTGTCTTCTCCATAGTCTATTGTCTTGTACGCGATACCTTTGTTACTGCATGGAATCAGAGGCAAAACGATGTCGAAAAATTTTTCCGCAGTACCCCGATCCAAAAGGAATCGCGTTAAAGATAATAGACTATAGAGAAGACGAATTTACAATCAGCCGTGACCGAACAATCTTTTAAAATTTTTCGATTTAGTAGTATATGTTGGTGATGAAGCTGTTCGAGAATATTAGATTCAAGAATGAGTGGTGTAATTGAAAACGCATCCAACTAAGACGCACTAAAATGCAACGCACTCATATGCCACACACACACGGAAGACACCAGAATTTGGTGATCTTTAGGTCGGGGATCTTCAAAAAATAGATGGAAACATAGATTATCAACCACACCGAATTTTCTGGCAATATTTATTTCTCCAAAACATTCACAGGTCCAACCAAAATTGATTTTATGTGAAATTGCCCATTTTAGGCTATTTCCATCTAACATTAAAAAGCTCATATCTCTGTCAAAATTGATCAAACCGACCTCGCAACTTCAGAAGATATTTCATTTGGACTGCTCTACGTATGATTTAACATGAAAGACAGAAAAAGTTCAAAGAAAAGATTTTGGTTCCAACAGTGTTTCCAGAAAACCTTAGAAGACAGAATGTTTTCTCTTGCTTTTCTTATCCCAGAATCATATGCATCATACAGAATAGCATATCTTCTGAAGTTGCGAGGTTGATTCGATCAGTTTTGACAGAGATATGAGTTTTTTAATGTTAGATGGAAATAGCCTAAAATGGGCAATTTTACATAAAATCAATTTTTACTAGACATGTGAATTTTTTCGGAGAAATAAATATTACCAGGAAATTCGGTGTGGTCGATAATCTATGTTTCGATCTATTTTCTGAAGGTCCCTGACCTAAAGCTCACCAAATTCTGGTGACTTCCGAGGTCTTACATATAAAAAGAGTAGTTCGCTTTGAGACGTTAGAAGCTCCTGACAATGTCCATGCAGAAGGTACATGTTAGTCCACACAATGTACATGCAGGCAGTGATTTCACGAGGATTTTTATGATAAATTCTAAAACTCCAAAGGTTTTTGAATATATATATAACTTCATGTGCTCGATCATCTGACAAAGTATAAGCGACTTCTTCAGCGTATAGTCCTCTCCTTTCCTTCCCTTAAAATATTTAGTGAACTAAGCCCAAAGCAGAGGATAGTGAACTATACCAAAGCAGAGGAGAGCTGCTGTTTAAATAAAATATTCACTCCATATTCAAGTCTAGATTTTTAGTTGTAAACATTTTAATAGATGAGCTCAGCATATATCAGTTTTGGTTAATCGAAGTCGATGTATGGTAAAATTGAGCTAAATAGTGAACGTTACACTCTTCAATAACAAGCTCAGATTCGTAAAAAGACAAAATATTTACCAATGGGATTATTATCAAAGAAGAGGATTGGACAATGTATTATTCTCTGAAACATTCTAAAATTATATAAAATACGTAGTCTATTAGCTAAATAAAATGAAGGACAAATTACCGGTTATGTAATACTCTTGCAGCATTGATGCATAGAAATTCTGTTGATACCACACGAATCAGTGTTATAATAAATAAAATGGCAACACTACCTTAAACCGAAGAAAACAAAAATATGCCATACCAATTCAAAGTATTTTTATTATTTAATCTACCACTATAGATATAAAATTTTTGATTTCGATATAGTTGCCATTCATTATCAGACATTAACTGAATTTTTAATTCAACTTTTGAACTACAAGTACCATTTGAATTTCGATAACGTAATTCTTCTTCATTTGACCTATACGTAGATAAAACAAGAATTATCGACTAATTAGAGAACTTTTTGTTTTTCAATTTACCATTTAGCTAGCCACCAGTTTGAGAAAATAGCAACGGCTTGTTGAGATGTAAAGACAACAAATATAAGAACAAATCCTAATATTAAACCTGCGCCTGCTCGAAAATAATCTAGAAACACATGCCACTTAACAACACCAGTTGCTTTTGTTTCAGCAGCTTGATAATTATTATTTGTCTCATCTTCCGACATTCTACTGCTTTGAGTCCGTAATAAAGGACCATTTTCAGCCTAAAAAGAAAATTAAAAAGAAAAATATTATCTGTATGAAATTTGATTTACACTAGATACGTGTGTCTATTGCTGAAAGGGGGAAAATGATAAAAATGATCTTTGAAATAAGCAAACATACTCTTTCGTCTGAATCATCTATGGATAAACTGATCTTTCTCTTATCATCTCCACTTGCTCCATTATGTTCATGTTGATGGATATCTTCGAGCAATTTAGCGAACGAAAAGGATGATTTCAATAATTCTTCATATGTACCTTGAGCAACACCTTCACCCTATGATAAACATAAACAAAATAATAATCAGTTTCAATTAAACATTAAGATACATACATTATTCAAAACAATAATTTTTGTTGCATCTTTTAAATATTGAATCTGATGAGTAACTAATATACAAATTTTACGTTTCAATAAACCTTTAATACATCTAAATAGAGATAATATAGAAAGATGATGTGTTACTAACAATAGATAAAACTTCTTGCCTCACTTTTCAAACAAATGATTTCCAACTTTTACATCAACAGCTGAGAGTGGGTCATCTAATAAATAAATATCAGCGTCTTGATATAATGCACGAGCCATATTAACACGAGCTTTCTGCCTTACATTTTAGAAAACAGATTAAACAATAGATTTATGCTACACTGCAGTATTTACAGTTTTTTTCTCACCCTCCACTCAGCATAACTCCTAAAGAAAAAAACTAGTCATCATAGTGTAAGATTTTTTCTAGCATGAACTTTTTATTACCTTGATCTCCGACAACCGTATATTCTCCATGTGATAAATGACAAAAGTCCTTTAAAAAACAAAAAGCAATAGAAAAATTTTCAAAATCATAAGGGCGTGCATACCTTGTCCAATGCCGATGCGTGTATAACTTTTTTAAATAAAGCTGAATTATATTCTTTTCCAAATAAAATATTTTGCTTTAATGAAGATGAAAATATCCCTATAAACACAAACGGCAATATTTAATATATAAATCATTTTTCTTGTTATCAGCACTTTTCTTACATGATTCTTGTGGAACATAGCAAAAACGTCCGTTTAAAGAAATTTTTCCATCGAAATACGGGATTTCTCCACATAAAGTTTGCAATAGTGAACTCTTCAACAGAAAATAAAATATAAAGTAGGTCATTGTTAAAAGATCGAAAAGAATATAACAATCAGTTAGTTTCCATCAAACACGATCGTACTGTTTTGAGCTTTTTGTCAGGATTATCAAGAGAAATCATTTACTATTAACCTCTTTGACGAGCGAATTTTGATTGACCAAGTTCTATCAATGCCGATGATAGGATCAAAGTAGGCTTTTGTCTAGACAATCATATACAGTGATTAGGTCAACAAGGTCGGGATGCTGCGTGTTTGCGGTGACCATTTGTATCTATGAACAGGAGTATACATAGATCTGGTAAAACTGAGAAATAAAGAATAAATGGCGCGGAATGAATCTCCATGCTATGACATTATCTTTCTTTTCGACAGAAGTTCTTGTTCTTAGTATGTTATAATTCTGTGATAAAAAAACAGAAAAACTGGGTCTTCTGCTAAAACAAAACGTGCCTGTAAAAGTGTCTAACTTTATTAGTCATTTTAGAATCTTCTGTTTGGAATTGGTTTTTATTTTCTCACAGTGATACAAACAGCTTTAGACAACCATAGATATTCACCTTTCCAGAACCCACGGGACCGATAACAGCTATTATATCACCTGGTTGAGTATTGAATTCAATATTTTTTAAAGTAAATGGAAGATCCTGAAAAAAATGAAGAACTTCAGTGAAAACGTTTGAACCATTGAAAGATTATGTACCATTTCCCATTTAGCCACTTTTAAATCACAGTACAAACTAGGCAATTGTGGTTGATTTTTATAATTATTAACAAGTATATAAGATTTGTCTAGTGAAACAGTTTCGATGAATGATCGAGATCGAATACGAGCATCTTGTTCTGATTCAGGAAGCAATAAGAATGCCTAAAATATAAATTAACCTTAAGTAGAGAGACATAGAAAAAGGCTCTCTCGATATTTCATGCTCGCTCCATCATAAATTAGCAATAAATAAATTTGAGAAAACATCATTATATATGATCTTACTTCAATTCGTTTTCTAGCTGATAAATATTGTACAAGATTTCTAACTGCATAATTAAAAAAATCCACCACAGATAATCGTAAATAAGCCAACAGACAATAAGAAATTGTGAAATATTTTGTATCGAGTGCTATATTTAAATACCACATTGCACCATACATTAATAAAAATACTACATTGGCGTACGTATGACTAAACAGTGTTTGTACACAATCTAGTATTAAACGATAAGAATATCGAATGATTTCTCGTCTAATAGAAAAATAGAAAGTTAAATAACAATATGTTGCTTGATATCAGTGTTGCAGACATACTTTCGTACATTTTTAATTTTGTGCTCAATAGACTCTTCCCAACAATACATTTTTACAATTCTCATCGATTTGATTATTTCCGACATTATTTTAAGACGTTCATCCATAACTTGAAGTATTTTTGATCTTAAAGAAAGAAAATAATTATTTAGTAAAATAATTATAATGATGATTTACATACCGAATTTTTACAAATAATCGTCCATAAACAAGTTGAGAACAAAGCAAAGCTAATGTGTAAGCAATTGGAATAAATGCAATGTAACGAACAAAATACCATAAAGTAATCACTACAATAACAATTCCGAACGGAGCTAACTTTAAAGAACAAGAATCAACTGTACTAAAAGCTATAAGATGCCACAACGCAAACAACACACCCATAAATAGTTAATAAATATCAAAGCCATTTCAATCTGACTAGCATCATTTGATAAAAGATTTGTAATTTGACCTGAACTTGTTTTATTCATTGATTGACTCGATAAACGTAAAAGCTAAATAGCAATCAGAAAAAGATATGGAAAAATCGAATAATCATGAGAACTTACTTTTCTATAAAGAAGTCCGGTATAAGCTATTCTGAGTTGCATAGCACATTGTTGTATTGCATAAAAAAGTGGATGATAAAGAATTGAACTGAATATTGAACAAAGAACTATACCAGAAGCTAATAGCCAGGCTGTTGATGTTGACATTGTTGTACACGGTAAAAAATAAGCTAGTAAAAATGCTAATAATAGTGGTTTAGTTACTTTCATGAATTCCTAAAAAAATTAAAAGAAATATTAAAACAATCGATAATCAAGATGATAACAAAGAACGTGTTTAATAGAATTCAAAGCAAAATCAGTATGAGAGCCAGAAAACTAAAATTATATTCAACTACCCATCAATGGACTTACGTCTGGTATATAACATAAACCAATCAATAATGGTCTAAATCCCATTAGTTTCACTGTTGCACGCAATAAACTTGGTTGACGCTTTTGCTCTTTTGCTTTTCGAACTTCGTCAAACCAATTTCTTAACAGAAAAAATAAAACATTTTCAATAATTGTCTGTCATCACTTGAGTTTATCTTTTACTTTACCGTTCTAATGTATCTGTCAATTGCACAGAATCTAATGTTGGTAATAGATCGTATAAATCAAAGACTTCTAAGGGCTGCTTCTTGCTTTTTTTCAACAATGTACCCAACCAACTAAAATTAAAATCAAAACATGAATGATATACTAGTCATTAAACTCAAGAATATGCGAGACTTACCAGTGAAAAAATCTTGATAGAAAGTTTGCTTTTAAATACGGACTAGGATTCTTAAATGTGATATTATCATTCATGTTTTTATCTAGAATTGCGAGCAACAGGTCAACGATCGAACGTGAAAGAAAATTTGAACAGAGTTATTTTGCGATGTAAAACATCCTGTCTGTTCTAGTTTGTAAAAACATTCATCCGTGTCACCTGTCATAAAAAATGAAAATAGATATTTCACTCACTAATTTCACGTTCAATTAGTTCCGTGATTGTGTTAATTCCACTAATTAGACGTTGAAATCAACTGTGACGTGTCTGATAAATGTAAAAAGGTCTCGTCTACCGGACTTAGCAGTGTCACTTGACATTGATATGAACCGTCAATCAAAAACAAGGATAAGGAACTGTAGAGAATATAGTACAATAAAGACGAAGCCGAAATTGAGTTGTATTATGATTGATCGTACTCTGGTAATAAGATATTAATATTAATTTAAGTTTATTCAGATGACTGGATTTTCTCTGATATTTGTTGTATGTCAGTGTCTCAATCTGAATTGGTCCGATTCGACTAACGAGGGAACCTCACCAACTGATACCCTCTGTTTGAGCTCATACTCTGCTCATAGGTAGGACTCATAGTGTAGATAAAAACTCTAAAAGGATTCATCCCCTTGACTCTTGAAGACCTGGTTT